GATTTTTATGTCAGGCTCTAAAAACTGAAAATTTACCGTATTTATATAAATTTTTTAACGTAAGTAAACTTTTGGGATTGCTAACTCCTATAGATAGATTTTTTTTATCCCACTTAAAACGTATTCCAAGCTTTCAAGTTGTGTTTGTTCACAGTAGAATTGTCAAAAATATTATATTATTCCCAAATGCGCATAAAGTTTACAAAAAGTATGTTCTAAAAAAATCTTTTGAGCAAAAAACTTAAAAACCACGTGTTTTATTTATTCTCTCATGGGTTTGTCTACATGCTGTATCTGATTGGTCAGAAGGATTAGCGCCTTGTTTATTCTGTGTATTAATAGCAATTCACGGTTATCGTTCTTGACTTCCTTATTTAGAAATCGTCCAGACCTGTGTAATGGTGTTTTAAATGCCTTAAATTTCCACACATTTTACATGCAAAATACATGTTTATATATGTAAATGTTATATATATATATATATATATTTTTAAATTTACAGATTTTATTTTTTTTTTTCTATGCATTCTCATTAATTAAGTAAAACTTGAATCTATAGTACTTTATATCAATGAGGTTTCACGCAAGTTTCATTTTTTGTGGCTCCTGTTTTTTTGAGAAGATTTTTAGAGGATCCCACAATTTTCATTGACTATCTCTTAATTATCTCCCCTTGGAAGTAAAAAACTTGGGTTTTCCCTCACCTAAGGATTGAACATGCATGTGCCAAGTTTGGTTGAAACTAGCTCAATGAGAGAAAACGTGAATATCATTTGTAATGACAACAAATACCAATGACAGATAATAGACAAGTTTGATCACAGGCCTTTAGAAAAAAATTAAGGTGTTGGAAAAAAATAAAGGTATGAAACTCTTTTTCGTAGGGTACCTTCTTTCGCAAATAAAATTCTTTTAAATCAAATGCTTTACAATTTTACTTTCTTTCCATATCAATTCAAATATAAACAATCTTCATTACTACCAAAGTTCATCCCGTAATTCCTTATACTTCTCGAGATATTCTGAAATCAATCCAATTCCAAAATTGACCTCAATTTTTATGCACCTGGATCAATAGATCCAGGGCGTATATTATTTTTGTCCTGTCTGTTGTCAACTTTAACCTTTGCCATAACTTTTGAACCATAAGAGATACAGACTTCATATTTGGTATGCGTACTCCACTAATTAAGTCCTTTCAAATGACACCAAGGTCAATGACCTTGTGACCTTGACTGTGACCTATATGCTAAAAATATCTTTTTCCACTGTATGTCATAACTTTTGGACCATAGGAGATAGGGACTTCATATTTGGAATACATACTCCACTAATAAATTCCTTTCAAATGAAATCAAGGTCAATGACCTTGTGACCTTGACTGTGACCAATATGCTAAAAATAGATTTTTCGAAATTTGTTGCCGCCGGGCGCATAGTGTTTCACAAACACATCTTGTTTTAACTCGACATTAGCTTGGGCCTTAGAAGAGCTACACTAATTGTAAAGTTACCAGGGAACGATGGGACAAATGTTTCCCAGAATTTATTCTAAACTCAATAAATATTTGTTCATTTGCATTCGAGCTTTACAAGGTTTTCTCTAATTTGATCATATGATATTATTAAGTTACAAAAAACATTTTAGCGGTCTAAATGTTTTGAAAATTGAAAGGTATACAATGCATTCCAGAAAATATTTGTTCTACCATGGCTTCATTTACATTCTTAATCAACATGGCTGTGCAGTTGTTGATGCAAATGTTTTCAAATTAATTTTTCGCAAAAGGAATTACTACTGACTTAAGCTTACAATCTGGAGTAATAAATCAACTTTGAATTGTGGAAAAATTTTGCAAATACTTTGCAACTCTTCGCTGCACTTTAAACATCATCTGTTTACATGTGAATGACCAGGGGCCCAAGCTAATGTCAAGTAAAAGAAAGTACAGGTCATTTTTGAAATTGATTTCAGAATATCTCAAAAAGTACCGTATATGGAATTTCGGAGTGAGCTTTGGTAGAAATGAAGAATGTTTATCTATGAATAGATTTGAATAGAAAGTAGAATTTTAGAGCATTTGAATATTTTATTAGCAAAATAGGGTACCCAGTGTAAGAGTTCAATACCTTTATTTTTTTTACACACACAATTGTTTTAAGCGATCGAAAGGCCTGTGAATTTGATCAGAAAATCTCACTTGAGCTTTCCATCTGCTCAGGTGAGCTAGTACACTGGCACAATAATCAGCCAATAACCTATGATCAAGATTTAATAAATAAAACAACTTGATTCTCATCCAATTTTTTTTTTTTTGAAATTGACGCAGGTGGTGGATTTCATAACAATTTTTTTTTTCTTTTCTTCCATTATATATACAGATATTTTTTTACCTTATCAAATGGTGCAGATTTAAGCGTTATATCTGTTGTCAGATATATCTTTGTTATACATCTAAAAGTCATAGTTATAATAGAGGTCAATTTAAATATGTTTATCTCTTACTATACATCATCTCGCATCAGGAGTCTTTCACAACTACTGATGATCCTGTTTAATGATCTTAACAGCCGTGAAAATCACACTGACATATGGGGGATAGAGAACGAAAGTTGAATACTAGTTGATTACCGATCCCGATCTGAATTAAGACTTAGAAAATTTTTTTTTTTTATTTGAGGCGAGGATGAGAATCTAGGTTTTTATTTACTACGGCCTTGCACAGGTATGGTGTGCATTATTCAAGCTGTATTTATTATTTAAATGGTAATATAAGTACCGAACTGTCCATTTTCATGTCCATCATTCCCTAACATGACCAGCTGCACAAACACATGATATGTATGTGCTTATGCATGCAAGTTTGTGAGCACAGCTGTCCATGTTGTGACATGATGGACATCAAAATTTACAACTCAGTGCTTAAATAATACAAATGCAGCATTCCTTGTTTATCAGAAGCAAAATTAATACTGCAAATTGTATCATGACTCATAAACTCTTACTGAGGAGGTCCTTCCCTCTTCTTGGGTGGTTTACGGCTTGGTGCACTCTTAGTCCATGGAAATATACTTGGTACTGTGCCTTTCTTCAATTTTCTTAGTCCTACAAGGTGTGTAGACATGTTAATGTTTAACCATTATAAACATTTAATTATCTATTTCCAAATTAAAATATTACATGTTTGTTGCACTTGACTCCAAATTACAACTTGATTTTTGAACTTGAAATAGAAATATCACCTTGATTTTACAGAAAGTTTATATATTTAGAATTGAACATTTATCGATATAAATTTATTATAAATCTAAATGATCAATGCTCACTTATGTGCATTATTTAAGAAATAAGGTATCATTTTTTGAGTTTTATTGGGATGTAAAACGGGTTGGTCATGTATTCAAATCTCATAAAGCCCGAAGGGCTTTATGGAAGATAGATCCTGTTTTACTCAACAATTTAATAAAGTAGCAGCAAACGAACTCAAACTTTGAAGCTGCTTGTAGCCTTGTACCTGTCAATGTTTTTACAATATCATCTTCTTTGAAATGCTTGGAACATACAAATGTGGACTTTGATATCTGAAAAATATCAATCAAGTTGTAGAACATCTAATTGGCATTGTTATTGTTTCAATTACAATTCAAAAGTTATTTGTACATGTACATGTATTAAAAAGTATCACTGTATGTACACTATTTATTATTCTTCTTTTAAAACATCTATATAATGTTATGAAGATATTAATTAATTAACGGGTGCACAAGGTTTTAACTGCTTACCTTGGCTTTATTAGGTCAATTGGCCCCTTCACCATAATTGTGGTTCTACTCTTTTGCAGGTCAAATTTATGTGTAAATTATGTTTGATGGTGTTTTTGTTTATACAGATAGATAATCAAATTACAAAAAGAAACAATTACTTTTACATCAAATTTAACCAAAATATAGCATTTTGCCCTGAAAAAGAGTACCACACTTATTGTGAAGGGGCTATGCAAGGGGTTGCTGGAGAGAGAAAAAAATTTTCAAGTTGGTGCATAAAATAAATCAGGATATTGTAAACAAAAGAATTTTTCTTAGACAAAATTTGATGAAAAGTAGTTTATAGTTAAACAGAAAGGAACTGAACATCCTGATTACAAGTGTTGCGTGTATATTCTCAGAACAGTTTATGGCTGGCATTTTATTTTGTTTTTGTTGATGCCCAATATGGCATATGACCTATAAATTATAGGTCGATCGATCTGAACAATTCATTTAAATATTGAACATGTATCGTGATACATTGTATATGAATTAATACTATACAGGCAGCATTAATACTATACAGGCAGCAGTTGTTATGAAGAGAGTTGTTTTTCTTTTGGGAACTAATTACGCTGCGTGTTTATATAAATATTTATCATCCAAAAAACATTTTATGACTAGAAAATTTATTAAAAGTTGTTATATCGAAATGTAATCATCTAACTTAATAGTGTGTAGAGATGTAATGAAGTGCGAGATGATACGAAACCTCGCTCGCACCGTTAGCATGCTAGACGTAAACAACAGTGGTGAGGCTATGGAATCTATCGCCTCACTGTGATAAATTAAAAGGGTCCTGTATGTCAAAACTCAATGAAATTAAAGGAAAATATCATCAAAATTAAAAATATGTAACTTTTTTAAGATGTTTCAGTGAGGGATTTTTTTTATATCCACAAAATCGACAAACTTGGTGTAAGTCACGTGAAAAACTTACATGGAAGTCGGGGCCTTCGTCTCGCCGTATTTTGATAATCCACTCTTTCCGTACAGATGGATCCTTTGGAAAAGAGTGGAAGGATGTTGCTGTACCCCGACGACTGTCTTCATTACAAAGCGGCACACAACAATAAGCCGCGGAGCCCGTTTCCGCATGGCCGTCCATTTTCAGCGTCTGTTCGCACATGTACTTTTTGTCAGGTCAGCCTCGTTATCGCTACGAACTTTAGCGCGTGCGTGAATAGAGTCTATTAGAGGATGTCAGGGCACGGTCATAGTCATGGCAGCGGAGGATGTGGCGGAAATCACAACTGTGATGATCACTTGACAGAAGAACAACTGGCTGACGCATATAGCCTCTATACTAAAATAAACATGGAAGCAGTCCAGTGTCTGAATACAGAAAGTTCACCAAAGGCTGTCTTCAAACCTTGGGACCAGAGACTCGACAAAGAGAGGGTATGTTACAGTTATTGATAATAGTGTCAGAGATTCTTAATGGCTTGGATGACTTAAGAAATGAAAAATGTTTATAAAATGAATTCCTGGTATAATATTCAAGTAGCAAATGTATGGCTGAATCTATTCTCTATTGAGAAGTTGATGCTTCGTGTTAATACTCCCCCTCAACTTCTCTACAAAAGGACTAATAAAGGCAGTTCAGAAATCGACTAAATGAAGAACCAAACCGGGTCCCACTTCAATCGATGGATGCATCATTGAATCATCAGTATACTTTGGATGCAAAGATGTTGTTTTTCAATGGAAATGCAATTAAAAATACCCATTCTGCTGACCTAAAACGCATTTATCACGGTATTACACTTACGTGCAATATCTGTGTCGCCGGATTTGTTTATTCATTCAACAGGTTCAAAACTGCGTTTGAATTGGGGTCATCTCTAAAAAAGTCTAAAACTATTTCCCTGGATAACACTTTCATGAAAGGAACACATAATCCAATTTATCCGGAGAAAAAGATTTAGACTTTTTTAGAGGTCAATCAAGTTCAAATGCAGTTAATGAATAAACGAATCCGATGACACAGATATCGCAAGCAAGTGCAATACCGTGATAAATGTGTCTAAGGTCAGCAGAATGGGTATTTTTAATTGCATTTCCATTGAAAAACAACCTCTGTGCATCCAAAGTATATCGATGATTATGCATCAGGCCTAAAACATCGATTGAAGTGGGACCTGGTTTGGTTCTTCATTTAGTCGATTTCTGAACTGCCTTTATTATAGTCCTTTTGTAGAGAAGTTGAGGGGGAGTATTAAAACAAACCATCAATTTCTCAATAGAGAATAGGCTGAACCAGGAATTAAACCTAGGACCCCTGTATCATTAGTCAGGTGCTCTATCGACAGCTACCCAGGCCAATAGCCACTGTCCAAACCATTCCCTCCTTAAATTTTACATACCAGGAAAACATAGATCCGGCACCATTGCGAAAACTGAGAAATCCCCCCAGCCGCAAGTCTAGGGTTAGTGAACCCGTCAACGGCACCAGATCTGTAATAGGAATTGAAAAAAAATATTACTTGTCAAGGAATTGAACCTTGGACCCATGCATCGATCACTATACAGGTGCTCTACTGACTCAGCTATCCAGACTGATATCCACGGCCCAAACATATTACATTAGAAATAACTCTACTTCTCTTTGAAGTTTTGCAATGAAACTTAGTACCTTTTAGCAATATGACTTAAAAAGATTCTTTTTGATTTTGAAATCAGAGACAAAGGTTAAATACTTATATACATTGCATACATAACTTTTGATTCCTGCAATACCTCTGACATACATGTACTTCTTAAAGCTTGTCTGCATTTTTGATTGTTCTTCCACTTTTTTTCTTCTTTAAAAGTTGGGGAAACAATTTCTTTGAATTAGCTTTTTATACATGGAATGTCATGATCAAAAAACTCTAGTGTAAAATCCTTGTTCAAAGCATATTTCCTCTCCCTTTGACCTTGCCTGGCTCAACCTTCTGAATAGCCTAGACAGACTCAAACTTCACCAAATGAGAGTCCTTGATAGAGGGCCTTTCATCCTAATATCCGTTAAATGTAGCTGCCTTTGAGATGGTCACATTTCAACAATGTCTGGTTCAACTTATACCCCCCGCTTGAAAAGCGGGATGGTATATAGTATCTGGATGTCCGTCCATCTGCTACTCTTTGGGGTACCCATCTCTTATCGGCAACTCCTCTCATACTACTGAATGAAATTTGATGAAACTTTCACAGAATCTTTATTATATGTTGCCATTGTGCATATCCTATTTCACTTTTTGATCGGTCACATATTTTGGGTTTCCCATAGCAAAACATGGACACTGTCCTTATATCCATATGGGAGACGGGGGTTATCATTTAGTGAGCTCATTGCTCACAGTACCTCTAGTTGGAATATTCCTGAGCAATCCACTTATCTTTGGAATTATTTACTATTTTTACTTAAATGTCAATGGTTTATATCTTTTTTTTTTCCATCAGTTTGTAGAAAGTGATGCTGATCCAGAATTGCTGTTCAAAATACCGTAAGTAAATTACTGGTATATCAAAAAGACAAATTCATGTTGGAAAGTGTTTTGCTCTTTAACTCATTTTGACTTCATGGCATTAAGCTAAACTACAAAGATCTCAAATCTTTTTCCAATAAACCTTATGACTTAAATCCTCCCTACATTTCTTTTTAATAGAAAAATGATTTTTTAACGTACAACTGTCATCTACATTGAAATATTATTACCGGTACATGTAAGAATGCATTTACCTGGTATAATGTATCTATAAATTATAATTCAGGTACTCCAGCATCATTTAAAATCTTTGGTGATCAATAGATTAAAGCTGTCTATTTGTAATGTATGTTTTTGTATTGCAGATTTACAGGAAATGTGAAATTGAAAGGCATCATAGTTATTGGAGAACAAGGGGAAAACCATCCAAACAAAATGAGACTGTGAGTTGAGTACCTACAGTATCACATCTCTCTCTCTCTCTATCTCCCTTTCTCTCTCTATGGTGAAGTAAAATTTCATATATGTGTAACACTATTCACAGGTTCAAAAATGTCCCAGAAATGACCTTTGATGAGGTAGGTCGTAAAGCGGACCAAGAATTTGAGTTGACCCCTGATCCACAAGGCACTCTACAGTACGGCGTCATGTAAGATTGATTTTAGATATGACTTGAAGCTCTCCCAAAGCGTACAAAAATTGAAAAAAAATTGTTTGGAAATCAATGTGGTTTGGCAAATTTGAGAATGGTGTATTTTTTCTTTAACAGACCTGCCAGGTTCAATAGTGTGAGTACACTTACCATCCATTTTCCGTCCAGTTTTGGAGGCGACTTAACAAAGATATACTACATTGGACTAAAAGGGGACTTTGAAGAGGTAAGCAGACTAATTCAAGGTGGCAAAGTGTATAGATTATGAATTATAATGTTCTCAGGTTAGCTAAATAATCAATGGTTATGTTTGATCATTAATCACTGCAACACAGATTTAATGATTGGTCATAGGGCTGGGCAAAGATATCGATATTTCAATATTGCAATACAATGATGAAAAATATTGTATTGCAATACGATTTTGTAATATCGACATACTGGCAATATGCTTAGATTAAAGAATTTTATCATTAAATATATAAATGGATGTGTGAAAGGTTTGTTATTAAGCCAAACAGTAAGGCAGAAGTTGTCTTGTGGGAGTATTTCAGGGCATAACTTAAATGAAATCAACAAGATTTTTTTTCCCTGATGGTTATTATCATAGTTATGTACATTCTGCATGTAAATTAGAGTAAATATAGTAAGAAAATGCCATTTTAATTACATTGAAAATATTGCAATACATATCACAATACAGTTAAAAATATCGCAATATGAAATCTCTGGCCAATACCCAGCCCTATGACTGGACAAAACTGGGGATAATTAATGTCACCTGAGTCACTCACGTAACTATTGCTATCTGTATTTGTCTGTCCTCAATTGTCTGTTAACATTTAAAAATTGAACATTTGCTTATTCTTTGAAAAAATAAACCAGTTCAAACCAACTTTGGTATACAGAAAATCTCGGCAAAGGAAAGACAAAAAACTTCAATTTCAAAGATTCTGCTCTCATTAGGTCTGACTGTAATATACAATTAAAGTATATCATTGAGGGAGTCAGCAAGATTCCAGTTCCCATCGAGCAAGTCTATTTCCCGAGGCGCAGCTAAGTGTTTTGATTAGGTTTGTATCAGTTCATCAAACTGACACACCTTTCTGCAGGGAGTTAGTCTTTTTATGGTGATTTTCAGGGAATCAGCAAAATATATCGAATTACTCTTATATAGTGAAAAATCAGTAGAGGTATAATAATGTAAAATGACATACATGTATTTTTGTGGGGTCAAATTTTCAAGGCTTGAAATAGAAATATTGGTTTTAGGGGATTGGATTTCATGTTTTGAGAATGTTTAGTAGTATCAATGCATGGGAAATTGTACATTCTGTGGTGGTCATGAATTTGAGGATCTCTCCATACCTCAAAACAATGAAAATACCCCCATCCCCAGAAATTAGTGATTTTAAAGTAAGTTAATTACGATATGGAACAGTTCCTTTTTAGCTCACCTTGACGAAGTCGAGATGAGCTTATGCTATACCCCCGGCGTCGTCGTCCCAGGTTAAAGTTTTAGGAGCAAGTCCATTCCCAAGTAACTATAAGCCCTACCTGAACCAAACTTGCATGGATGATCCATCTAGGGATGTACACTACCAGACTTGCTTCGGATGCTGGATCTGACCTACATTTTCTAGATGAGTGACCAGGTTAAAGTTTTTGGAGCAGGTTAAAGCTTTTGGAGCAGGTCCATTCCCAAGGATTTATAAGTCCTACCCGGACAAAACTTGCATGGATGATACACTACCAGACTTGCTTCGGATGCTGGATCTGACCTACATTTTCCAGATGAGTGACCAGGTTAAAGTTTTTGGAGCAGGTCTATTACCAACTAAAGGAACTATAAGCCCTACCTGGTCCAAACTTGCATGGATGATGCATCTAGGAAAGGACACTACCAGACTTGCTTCGGATGCTGGATCTGACCTACATTTTCATTCCCAAGTAACTATAAGCCCTACCTGAACCAAACTTGCATTGATGATGTATCTAGGGATGGACACTACCAGACTTGCTTCGGATGCCAGATCTGACCTACATTTTCATTCTGAAGTAACTATAAGCCCTAGCTAAACCAAACTTGCTTGGATGATGTATCTAGGGATGGACACTACCAGACTTGCTTCGGATGCTGGATCTGACCTACATTATCATTCCCAAGTAACTATAAGCCCTAGCTAAACAAAACTTGCATGGATGATGCATCTAAGGATGGACACTATTAGACTTGCTTCAGATGCCAGATCTGACCTACATTTTCCATACAAGAGACCAGGTTAAAGTTTTGGGAACAGATCAATCCGAATGAACTTGAAGTCCTTGATATCTGCAGTATTAACAAATTTATGAATATTTGTTAACACTATACATGTTTTTCATGTATACACGCGTAGAAATGTGTATATACCATGTAAGGGGTTAAACACAACTTGCAAGAATATTGTTGTTGGGATGAATACTAAATATTAAGAAACTATGATGTGAGATTTCCATTACTTAAACTGATAACATTCGTCGAGGTGAGCTTCGTAATCTTTGATTACCTATGTTTTCTCATCTAAATATAATTCTGTTGTAGGCCCGTCGCCAGGAGGTTGTTATAACAACATATGAAGCTAGACCAATGCCAGAGGATCATAAAACAGATGACTTTGAACACTTTCATCACCCGATCAGTTAATCTTCATTCCTCCTCATCTGACCTGTGTGCCATTGTTATAGTTGTATCATCTCCACAGATACATAGTGATTTCTACACTTTTTTTATTTTTTTTTTACTTCTTGTGATAGTAGAAAGAATGGACAAGGTGATGCAATGATGTCTCAGGACACATTTACATGTATCAGTCAGAGTTATCAATAAAGTATTTCATTTCTTTCATGTGAGTCTTCTTATGCAGATTGTTAAATGTACAATATCTGGCCATAAGTGAATCATAATTTTATTTTTTCACTATAGACAATAGAGAATATTTTATTTCCAATCAAGGGCCCCCAGAGAGGCATGAAAAATGCCTTTTGGAAAATGATTGCAACATCATTTGTTGTTCATTATAAATGAGTATCTCACTGGATACAGAATTTGTTGCAGTTCCTTCACAATTTCAAAGTATTTTTTATTCTTTGGAGGATGGGGTCAAATTTCTGAAGAGTTTTGATAAGAACACATAAAATGCTTTTTTTTCTAAAGTGATAAATACCAAATATTTTAGGTCATCTTTTATTTATGTAACAGATATAGGTTTGGCCTCCACTCTGCTTGAACCCTGAACGAAGGTCTTAGTTATTAAAAAAAACATCCATGGAGGTCTTTAGATTTTATTCATGTATACAAAACCAAAAGGTTGGAAAATCAAAATCAGATGTAAACAAAAAAAATTGTAGAAAAAATTTTCTAAAAATTTTAAAGTGAAATCACAAGAGAAAAAAATGAAATTACAAAAGTACAACTGTTTCGACTATAAACACCATTGATTTTTAATGTACAGAAAAATATGTAGTACAAGAAATTTCTGACTTTGCCTAAAACTTGTATCAAACATTTAATTTTCAACATAATTTAAGCATATCAAAATTCTAAAACAGAATAGCTTAATTTTTATGTAGTTTTAAAAAAATGTTTTAAGTGTTTCACATTTAGTGATCTTTACCCTGTTATGATCCAGCCTTCTTAAATAGAAGGAAAGAAAAATGAGGAAGAGAAATGCATCCAGTGACTACAAGTTACTTAAACATTTCATCAGAAATTGTCAAAAATCTAAATATATATAATTTAGAATAAGCTTGATTCATGGTTATAGGGAGCCACAATTTCACATTACCTGAGAAAATAATAACATGGTTATATTGTATCATGTAAATACAAGGATCTAGTGAAGAAATTTGTTGACAAACGTTCTCAAGATGTAAATTCTTGGGTAAGGGAGACCTGTAAATTCATGCACGCTTATTAGTCTCCCACAAACAATGAAGATTTATTTTAATATAAAATGGTTAATCAAAGGAAAAGCTACTACTATATATCACAATCCTTAAAATTTCAAGTTACATCCAACATATTAAACATAATCATTTAATAAACAGAAAGTCTGTTTCTTCAACTACATTCAGACTACATTCAATTGAATCCAAAGGCACCTTCTCTTCAACAGTTTCAGGATGAGACAATGAAAAATTTAGATCTACATGTAGTGCTTACAATTCCCCCCTTTATGTTATACTTTATTAACTTCCACCACCTGTTTAGACATAGATTTGAAAAACTAATATAGATATACATACATACATAATAAAAGTTATCCCTCTGATAGTACATAAAGCTATTAAATGTAGAGATATCAATGTAACAAATTCATGCCAGCATATACCAGATACATGTATTACAATGTCACATGAACATCACAAATTATTTAAAAAGAATCATTTGAATTTGTTGGGTCCAGTTTTTTGAGAATTCTAGTAAGGTGGGATAGCGACAAAATTTGGACCTCCATGCATATGAAATGTTTCCACTTTGACTCAAGCTATGGAGGGAATAACTTTTTCTCACTTTTAAAGATCATCTAAGATATTTTTCTCTATTTATCTTGAGTTTCAAAGTCCTTTTTCTTTTTCAAACCTTTACCATCTATAATGGTTGTTATTTTTTTTATCCATGGGGAATAACTATTAATTCATTCTCTTGTATTCAGATAAAGTGAAAGGAAAGACATTAGCATAGACATAAACTTTTGAGCATCGTCATAGGAAAGCTTTTAATCAGCTCAATACTAGACAAATGTTATATGTATAATTAATTTCAAAACAAGGGTATTGAAAGTTTCATATTTATAAATTAATGCCCCTTTAATATAACCGGGTAAAAGAGTACAAACAAAATAAAGTGTTGTATAACAATTAAATATATGTAAGTAATAAAAAATAATATATGTTAATTAATAAAATATATAATTCAGATCTAAAAAAATCACCAACAATTCAAGATTACAATGCTTTTCGAAAAGTGTCAAAGACTGCATAGACATTGTAATAAATTTTAGAAATTTAACATCACAATATAACAGAAATTATAATTAATCGTTTACAGTGAATACAATAAATTATTGCATTTTAAACTGACTTACAGTTTAATCATTGTAATAAAAAAAAGTAGTTTTTCAATATTGCATAATCCAAAGAGCACCATTTGTTAAAATCAAAAATATTAAGAAATACTATTTAAAGATTAATACCAAGATCATTAATTAACATCAATATTTATACATTCTGATATGTATCATTGAGTATTTCACAACATTTACGATTACAAAACAGTACACACATGTTCTAGGTCAAAATGAACATTAAGGCAAGAGTTTGAAGTTGATCAGAAAGTTTTTTCATTCTGTAGAGGATTAAATATTTTTTTATTGGAGGGATGTCTTCTTCTAATTAAAGGCCAGAGGCTGTCGTTTGTGAGGTAATACTCTAATTCATTCTGGTCGCTGCAACATAAGCTGTTTCCTAATCTAGTTCATTCTAGCGGCAGCAATATAAGCTGTTCCTAATCTAGTTCATCCTGGCCGCGGCAATATAAGCTGTTCCTATACAATGTTTTCCCAGTGGTAGACAGCTGACTTCCACCTCGTACTCGCCCAACTGAACATCCATGTTACGTCCGTGTTTACCGCTCAGGAAGCAGACAGTGTACGCTGCGATCTCAAACTCTGGACTCGTTCCCAGGAAACAGGAACACATTGGCTTCCCCTTCTCTCCCCGCCAGTTAAACTGTAGAGCTATCAACCGGAAATGTTCGTCATCCTTGACCTGCACAATAAAACACTTAAAATTATATCTACATTAGAAGTACTGTAAGCATTGCTCTCACAAACAAAATTTCAATCCAAAATGAGTATTAATTATGGCATCTAGTACACTTTTTGTCAGAAGAAACGGTCTTTAAGATATCAACTGTCCTTGAAATGATACACTACTCACTGTTTCCCTTCTAAAGTATCCGTGGTAGTCAATGTTCCCTGCTTTTTCCTGCAGGTAGAACTGAATCCAATTATGAAGTCCAATAAATTCATCTTCTCGTCCCTCACCCACAAATACGTGCTCAAAACTGCTGGAGTCAAAGTCCCTAAAACATGGCACAAAAATCATAAACCTAACAAAAATTACTTACAAAACAATCTGAAGGGTTGGAATTAAATGTTCCCAGAAATACTGTTAAAGTATTATATATTCCATTTAAGATGTTTGGCAGAAAATTATTTTATTTGTTTAATTGTACAATCGTATAATTCAAAGGTACTTCTCCCAAGGTTTATCCAAGATATGGTTATGAATATTGTTATTTGCAATTCTATAATGCTAGATTTGAACCGTGTCTGAAGCTCACCTATCCCCCTTTGTCCTGCGAATAAGGCTGAACCAGGTCCTGTAGAGCAGTCTTTTGAACTCGATCTCGTCCTGCGGAGCTTTTCCCCTCTCCACAAGATAACGATGAGCTTCCTGCATTACGTCAGTCTCCATGATAGCATCTATAAAGTCTCGATTCTCTTTTCTCTCTTCATTTGTGACCACTTCCTGCTTTCCACACTCAAGTTCATAGTTGTCCAGTAGGGCTTTAAATGCTAAAATGTAAATTATATATGTACAATGTGTAAGAAAACAATTATGTTTGTCAACATGTGAAGATACTATTCATTAAAAAAATATATAAATAAACCAATCACTGGCCTGTTCACTTCACTCATTTAAATTTTTTTTTTAACAGGATGAAAGAGTTAGATATAAACTATTGAAATTCTATAAGCTATTGTAATTCTGTACTTTTATAGGTCTTTCTTTCAAACACATTTTCTTCATCGACCCAAGCAAAGAGTGTGTATTTAGCCCTGTCTCTCTGAAGCTCTCTACCACTGGTCACATATCCTGAAAAAAAAATACAGTCAAAACTTGATTTCTTTAACTTAATCAGCAGGAACTTAAACTAGCTCAAAGACATCTGAGGATTGAAGATAACAAGGTAAAAACCACAAAGAACAAGAGATGTTTGTAAAACACTTATAACCCCTCTCACCCCAAATCATTGGAATTTTTCTAAGTCCAAAGGGCATAACTCTGTCTCAAATTGCTCGATTGTACCCAAAACAGAACTTGACCTAGATATTCATCTGATAAATTTGAATAAATTTTTTATTTTTTTTTTTTTTTTAATTTTTTTTTAATTTTTTTAATTTTTTTTTAATTTTTTTAATTTTTTTTTTTTGATAATTTTGTTTACCAAATTTCATTTCAGTAAGTGCAACCTCTGTGAAGAAAATAAAAGGAAACGGTGCAAATACTTGGAATTTTTTTTAAGTCCATGGGGCATAACTCTGTCAAAATAACTCAATCAGACCCTAAAAAGAACTTGACTTAGATAATCTAGGGCATAACTCTGTCAAAATGAAAAAAAAAACCCAAAGTTTCAACAAAACCTTATCTAAATATTCTAATGATAAATCTGTACACCAAAGTTCATTTCAGTTTGTGCAATGGCTGAAAAGAAACTGAACAGAAACTGCATATAACTAGAATTTTTGGAATTTTTCTAAGTCCAAGGGGCATAACTCTGTACCAAATTACTTGATTGTACCCTAAACAGAACATAACAGATATTTCTGACAAATCTGTATATTAAATTTCATTTCATTATGTGCAACCTCTGCAAAATAAATAAAAGGAAACTGCTAATAATTGGAATCTTCCTAAGTTCCAGGGACATAACTCTGTCAAAGTAACCTCGGGATTCTTCCATATAAACATGACCAATCATGGCTTTGCTGATAAATCTGTATACCAAATTTCATTTCAGTATGTGCAACTGTTGTGAAGAAAATGAACGGAAATTTGTTGGACCTACAGAGAGACTGACCGACAGCATTAAAACATAAAAGGGGGTGGGATTACCACATTATATTAAAATTAGATGTTAATTTATCTGCTCAGACACATACTCGCTCAAATTCAAAGATTGCAGTATAATTCCTTAAACAAAACCATGACCGGGCGAATTTAAAACAAGGCAAAATTGTTTGTAAGTATGAAAGGGCAAAATAACACGGGGCGAAAATAACCCTGTATACACTCATGACTATTTTTTTTTTACCAGATTCGTATATATATATGTAAACGAGAACCTTCTTTCATCCCTTACCCTGTAGATCAATATCAAAGTCCTGTCCAGCATAGCATTTGTTTGTGTCCAGTTCCCATAGTCTCCCAAGTATCTCAGTGAGTTCAGGATCGGGATGAAATCTGTAAGAGAAAGCATTGATAATAACTCCTTTATCCCTTGTGTGGAATAGATCATTGAAAGATGTTTCACTCAGACAAACCTTTTGGTACATGGGGTAAAATGCAATGCTGACATACGCATGCAGTCTCCAAGAAATTTAATTATATATATAGTAAACTTTCATGCACATTAAAAAAGTACTTTAGAAGCACATATTTGATTTAATGAATTCTCTTTTTACCTCAAAAACACCTCTGATATATCTGACCTGTGTACGAAGTCTGAAATCAGACCAAAACTATAGGAGGAGTAGCAATTTGAAGGATTTCAGTTCAAGTTGTATTTTTTGTATATAACCATACCAATACTTATCTTTAAAGTTAGAATTGTGAACCCAAACCCCTTAAAACACTTGTCATGGAATCTATCATGCAACCAAGTAAGCTATCTCCTGGTACAGGCCATTGAACCTGTCTGTCCAGCACATTCCTCCCTCCTTTCTCCTCAGGAGACACAAACTCATAATGCAGGCTCCTCCCTGGAAAGTCTTCCACCTTCCAGGACAAGGTGTACTTCAATAATCTATATCATGGTTGAATTGAACTCTATAGATAATTTGTTGACAGTAAAGATTTGGTCTTAAAAGTCAGTATGACTCATTGAAGTTTATTTCTAGTGGAGATTTTAAATAACTATTTATGTAGAACTAAAGGAGAAACTGCACTTTCTCGATATCATAAACCAATTGACATGAGGAGGAGAAATTATTCATTTAATACATAGGAAACCTACTAGAGGAACTGTGAGCACTGAGCTCATTAGGGGTGCGTTCACAGTTCTACCATTAGTACCAACTTTCAATATACCATTGGTACAATAATTTGACAATGGTACCAACTGTACCAATAAACCCTGAACGGGTATTGGCATACAAATGTAACAATTTTACCAATGTTACCAATGGGAGTCCAATGGAGACATTGGTAATACTGAATTACAGATTTCTTTGTCTTCTAAGTTATTTGCCAGAATCGCAAGAAAATCATAGCAGACTCATATCCGACAAACAAACCACATTAGGATCACACTTCTTTAGTTGCCATATCTATGAGTTTTATATAATCCATTTAATGGATCATGTCTAAATCATACTTCAAAATCATGAATATAAGTGTTTGATATGATTTTTATGTGATTTTGGCATGATTTGTTAAAAAGGATGTTGTAAATCCGGGATCCCATTGTTGCCATGTCGATAACTAGCTGTGACGTCATTTACCAACACTAACCACACTCTAGACTGACATCCATTAGTACCAACTTTCAATATACCATTGGTGCAATTATTTGACAATGGTACCAACTGTACCAATAAACCCTGAAATATTGGCATAAAAATGTAACTATTTTACCAATGTTACCAATGGGAGTCCAATGGAAACGTATTACATATTTCTTGGTCTTCTTAGTTATTGGCACATGCTAGATATATAGCAGACTCAGAGCCGAGAAACAAACCACATCAGGGTCACACTTCTTTAATTGCCATATCTTTGAGTTTTATATAATACATTTAATGGATCATGTCTAAATCATACTTCAAAGTCATGAATTTAAGTGTTTGATATGATTTTTATGTGATTTTGGCATTATTTGTTAAAAAGGGTTAGAGAAAAAATCGTTTATATCATTGTGAATCCGGGATCCAAGTCTTTCTAGCTTGTTGCCATGTCGATAACTAGCTGTGACGTCATTTACCAACACTAACCACACTCTAGATTGTCTGCAGAAAAATCTACCATTGGCAAAAAACATTGGTACCACTGGCATGCCAATGGTAATTAATTTTACACAACTTTTGTCTACCAACGGCAGAACTGTGAACGCACCCAGTGTCTGCAGAAAAATATACCATTGGCAAAAAACATTGGTACCAGTGGCATGCCAATGGTACTTTTTGCACCATGGCAGAACTGTGAACGCACCCTTGATCCCCCTGCCTCCCATATGAATATAATATGGCAGAGACCATGTTTTGCTCTGGGAGACCCAAAATAAGTGTTGATCTGAAATAGGAAGTGCACAATGGCATCATGTAGTAAAGAATCTGTGAAAATCTCATTAAATTTCATTCATTGGTATAAGTAGAGATAAGAGATCCGTGGCACCCCACAGTGTAATAGAAGGACATTTTGAATTATTATGTATACCCTCCCACTTTTCAAGCCAGGATATAGTAAATGGCTCGCAACAAGAAAAGAAGGTTGCAAAACTTGCAATGATAAGTTAGCTAAATACATCTTTTCTTGGATTCTCATCATTCTGCACACTTTTTTTATCAGCTGACACCTAATTAGATCTAATTGATTATCAACAAAATGAAAAAGTGATTTCACATATCATGGATTGGAAAAATTTCAAAATCCATAAAACCGTCACAGACAATCTCAATTTATTTCTGAAAGATTTGACTTAATCTGAGATCAAAGAGTTGCCAGTTGTGTACACTCGCAACGTGGATCGCTGGATGCCACGCCCACCTAAATCTTAAATATTATGCAATCAAATGAAACAATAATATACTTTACCCTCTCCGACTATCAGCCATTGTAAATGGACTTCACCTGTCTTGACAAAGTACACTTCGTACAAAGATAAAATTAGTAAATCTGACAGAAAATGACACACAGCGTGTCAATGTGCCCTCAGGCTGTCCTAATATAAACTCCGAGAACTTCCGAACAACTTTCTGCAGACGACTTAGACGTTTTGGTTCGAGATTTTTGATTGGTTGATAATTTTGAAAAGGCCAATGAGGATTTGCCTTCTTTCACCTCAGAGAATGAGGACTTCAGCAGCATGACAACATACAAATATCTTTCCCCAAAAGTTTTGTCTGGATTTGACAAATATAAGGTAAAAACTGATATCTTAATTCTTCAAATGTACTTAAATATCTGTGATCAAGCCTGGGTGTAATGAAAAGTGATCAAGATACCGATATATTGCAAAATTTTGCATTACAACATGCATCGACCAGTCTAGCCCTAGGTGTGAGAAAAGCATTGTAAAGAGTCGACAATTTTTATGAATAAAGTAAAAGTAAATGAGATGCAGACACAACCCTAACAGCGAGTTTGCGATGGAAGCGCTACGCTCGCGGAGCTCGCCGGTTAACTGTGAAGCATCACAATGCCAGGGTCCTGAGTCAAATCTTGACGTTCCCAGATGCACAGGCACTTGTTTCGGAAATTAATTGTTTAACCCAAAGTATAATAATAACGCAAAGTATCTAAGTATTCTAACTCCAAATTACACTTAGTACCCCCCTCCGTAGAAACACACTCATGTACATTTTCTTCTTCTTCCCATCCAGTGCAAAACTACTAAAGTATTTTCACACTCTGTGTGAGGGGATGTCAGTGTCCATACACAGTGCTCATAAAATTAAAAGTTTAAAAGATTAAAAATTTAGTGGCTGGCACTGGGCATATCTTAAATATCAATATATCGTGATACATATTCCTCCGATACGCATATCAATACATATGAAGAAATATTTCAGAGAATATACCCTCAAAAATCTTACTTCTGTTTTTCTTTGTTTATTTAACATTTGGGGTTTTGTATATAAAATAAAGAAGCTAAATATAAATATAGATATGAAATAAATAATAATTAACACCACTTTAGTAAAATATTTTTGTTTTACAACATATAAACAAATATTTTTAATAAAATATTCTTATTTGCAAAGAAATAATTTGTTTATTTCAATGCAAAAATAGAATTATATCAGCAATCAAACATATCGTATACATATTGTGTGTGGCTCAAATATCGTGATATGTAATTTATTTAATAAATCTATGATATATTTCATGTTTTTATTAAAAATGCAGAGAAGTGATTATATAGTGGCTGGCACTGGGCAGCTGGATTTTAAAGCTGTCCAGGGTCTTGGCTTATTATTCCTCCTGGTAAGGAATTCCACAGCCGGATGGCTTGAGGGAAGAAGGTCTTTAGAGGAAATGCATTGGCAAACTGTTTATTACCTTTGTTTTCTATAATAATTTATCTTCACAAAAGATATGGCACACTTGTCTTTGTTTTCTTTTATCTCCATAAAAAGCATCAAAACTCTGATTTGAAAATGAAAAAGTTTTGACATTTGACTAAGATGATATTTCTCTCTGAAACAAGTTATATGGTTGATGACAACACGTTGACTCAAAACCAAGTGATGTTGTTAAAAACCACTGGTAGGATTTTCCTTTATCCCTGTTTATCAGTGACTATACTATATTGGTATTCCCTGTCATCTGTATGTGAATATATGGAGTAATCTGCACACAATTTCAATATATGAGATTGTGTGTCTACTGCGAGTCAAATAGTGTGCAAGGGTAACCCTAATCTCTAAAACGGATGCCAGAGTGAGACTAAGCCGGGTAATCAGTCGAATACTTGTGTAAGAACTTTCCTTATATATAAGATTGGTGCAAGACTTAATACTATAACCAGTCAAATGACAGTTGAGTAACAAGTTTTATGTTGTGGTGCAGTTACTTGGAAATCACTTGGAAAATCCCCCATTTGACTGCAATGAAGTTAATAAGTTACTGTAGTATTTGAATGAGATCAAGGTAGAAACTAAACCAGCCCAATGGACTAGTGACCCGCGCTGATCTCATGTGCAGTTATGAATTGAACAAAATTTTGCATCACTCCATTTCAGTGGACATTGGAAAAGAAAAAAAATTAAAATGGTGACAGAAATTATGTGCTAGAATCAGAGTGTATGTATGATACATTGCATTTATAGATGATACCATTAAGAGTAAGGATAAGTTTTGGGAAATGGAGTAGTTATTTTAGAGATTTGTTTATTTGAAGAAGAAAATCATGAGTTTATCGTAACTATCTAGACAAACTTCCCTTGAGTGCACCTATTTGTAAAAACTTGAGAGACGTTTTCTAATCCTAATTTTGCATCAACCTTGAGTACAGTACAGTTTGCAAAAAGTAACAACCGGTAGTACATACAGTACTTACAAGTCCTCTTTATTTTTGTTAGAGTGATTAATGCTTCCTTATCTTGCTATTTACATAATAAGCTTCTTTTTACTGACTAATTCTGTTGTTTTGAGATCTTGAGCTACTAAGTATCTGTATTGTCAGCCCTTACATGGGCTTGTATACATGTGAAAAAAATAGTCAGCTGCAATTATAACAGTTACTATTCTTCATTGTTTTTCAGTACAGTGCAGTCGACACAAGCCCAGTTAGCAAGTACATAACACATCCTTTCTGGAACTGGGTGGTTGAGGTAATTATATTAATTGAACTTTATTTACTAGGTATTTTGTTGATATATCAGAAATTGTCATTTTGAACTAAATTTATTTTGATGAAATATCTCTATTTAGCGGAAAATGTTTTTTGTATGTATCCATTTAGTAGGCTCTTTATTTGGAGAAATACAAACTGAAATACAAATGTCAATGCTTTTGAGTTTATTTATTTTTATGACTATTAATTTTCTTGCAGTTTGTACCAAAATGGATTGCACCCAATGTATTGACCTTGACAGGATTTGGTCAGCTGATGATGAACTTTGTCCTTTTGACCTACTATGACCCCCACTTTTTTTCTGCTTTTGAGTTCCCCCTATTGGGTGTGGCTGGTCTGTGCATTTAACAACTTCATGTCACACACATTAGGTAAAAATCATACAAATGTGTGTAGCTAATTACAATTTTAGCTGTAAAATAATTGATTTATATAAAAATCAATCAAATATGTTCTTAAGATAGTTGTTTTGAACATTAATTTAATTAATAAAGAAATTGAAAGGTGTGATTACTTACGCTGTACATATTTTAAGGATAGGAGGTAAAAAAAATTGTCATACCGCTTTTTAGCAGATTGTAATGTATATATGGCCATAATAAATAAATTGCTAGATTCTCATCCAAATTTTTTTAAAAATCGAGGCGGGCGGGCGGCTTTTATTTTATATTTTTAAATTTTTTCAATTTTGCACACATTGACCTGGTCAATCGGTGTAATTATCTACAATACCCAAATAAAAGTCATAGTAAAGGTTCAATCTCTTACTTCACATCATCTCCATATTATTAAACCAATGACCCTTGTTTAAAATATATACGCATGTATTACAGCAATTACCATCTTTTCAGCTGTCAAAATCGTGGCGACTTTCGCGGGATTTAAAACGAAAGTAGAATGGTGTGATTACTTATCCCGATCAGAATTAAAACGAAGAAAAAAAAATTAAAAAAATCGAGGCGGGGGTATAAAATCGGGGCGGGCGGGGAGATTGGAATATTTTTATTTTGGCCTATACAATATTGATAAGTTTATGTTAACTATTACATCAAAAATTTATTAATACCAGTAGAAATATTGTTAATCTTTTTTATGCTCACTCTGTTTAAACTAATTCCTCTATATAATCTCCACAGATGGGATTGACGGTAAGCAGGCACGGAGGACAGGGTCCAGCTCCCCCCTGGGGGAGTTATTTGACCACGGACTGGACAGCTGGGCCACCCTGTTCCTGCCCGTGGCTCTGTATTCTATTTTTGGCCGCGGGGAGTATGGAGTGGGGGTGTTTAGGGTGTACTTCATCGTGACGGGAGTCATGCTGTGTTTTATCCTCTCTCACTGGGAGAAATACAACACCAAAATCTTATTTCTACCCTGGGGCTACGACCTCAGCCAATTGGTAATTCGCAATTGAACGATTAAGGCTTTGAAACAAATTAGGTTTAAATTGTTTATTTTCATAATATTTCATCAAAAATAAAAATTATTGTGCTTTCTGAATTTTAAACAGTTCAAACTTCTTACCCAGTTTTATTCTTATGTGAAAAAATAATTTGAAGTGTTTAAACCTTTATATTTATTATTTTGTCTACATTCAAGAAGTCATGTTGATTCAATCATTTCCTTCATTAAAATTTATTTGTAAGTTTTATGTTGTTAAAAATGTGGAATCTACATATGTGTAAAGTCTATAAAACTACTTTCCTTATTTTACTTAAGGCCATGACAGGAGTATATCTTGTGACCTTTGTTGGGGGTCAGAGTATGTGGAAATTTAAAATTCCAGTGATAGATATCTACTGCTCCGAGTTTATAGAAATAGGAATGTATGGTGAGTAGCTCTTAGTCACCTCTCTCTACTTCATAGACTTTCATTAATAAAAATATCAATCTATGGCACAGAACTAGTATTTATATGTACTTTCCTGATCATCCAGGGTTAAATTTATGATGCCTAGCGTTGTATATACAGTTTGACTTTGATATCTTGAACCCAAATATCTCAAATACCATGGATATTTTAAAGTCAGTTGGAATTCCCAACTAAATCTTCTTTGCTTTTTAACCTCAGTTTCCTGAATGCCTGGTTATCTCAAAGTTTTCCTTGCTCCCTTTGAGTTTGAAATAAGAAAATTTGACTGTACATGCCAATCATATTGGTTAATTCATTTAAAATTGATATTGGTGAATTATTATACAATTATGTACCAGTATTTGTACATTGTATGATTCAGTATATGTCAGATGCCAGGGCTATTAAATGATTGTGTATCCCAATGGTATTATTGACTAAAGAATCAAGTTTGATATCTTGAAACCTTGGATATTTCAAAGTTTGCATTTAAACATGTACAATCTCATTATTTGAGACATCTAGGTTTGACTGTTTA